CTAAATACTGAAATGTATTATGTTAAATAATATTATAATTCGTAAGTATCCGTAACTTTTTTCTCTACTTACGAAAGCAAAACAATCTTCAAATGAATTTTCTTTTGTGTTCTATATAGAACAAAAAACAGCAGGTCTTAAGAGCACTTAGAATATTCATTTAGGAAATACAAAAAAACAAAACTAGCCAAAAACTTGAAGGACATATATAAGTGCATATTGTTTAATTTTATGGAAACTTTTTTTTTTCTAATATCTATATCCTTGAGAATAAATATGATCGTGCGCAAATATGATTGTCAGGATTTAAAAAGTAATTTATTTCTAATTTTTTTTTTGTTTAAGATAATTTTCTATAATACGAGTTCATATCAAAATAAAATCATCATTACAAGATAATAGTATTTTATTTATATAATCACGTAATTCTTTTCCGTATAATTTTTAGCAATAAAAGTCATGCACTTGTGAAAATATTTAAGTTGACTAATGATGAAACAAACTTATAATTGCGTTGATGAAATGAAAGAAATATCACAAACAACAAATTTTAGATTAAAAATTCTGAAAGAAAACAATACTTAAGATATATTTTTAAAAATTCAATACTAATTGCTATTATGTGCTAAAAATGTAGACTCTTTTAATGATATATGATTTGTAGATAATATGTATAAATGATAAACTTTCATCTTTCAAGTAAAAATAATGGAATTGCACAAGTGTGTTATGGCAAAGAAAAATAAATCATGTGCGCATATCGTTGTAATTTTGTTGCAAAAAAAGTGATGCATAATGAAGTCAAATTAATGATCGCTTCATTATTACAATGTTAATTTACTCTGAAACACTTCTCATGAAAAGCTTAACTGTATCAACAGAAAGATAATGTTTTATGAAAAAACAAAAAGAAGATTTAATGTTTAAAACAAATTTGAAAGAAAAACAAAATTATAAATAATAGGTTTCACAGCAAGAAAATATGAATATATCAAAACTTTCGTAAATTAGCTATGTTACAATTGTATCGGCATATCTACACTAAATTATATATTGTTTTTTTTTTTCAAGTTATAGAAATACTTATCTAAAGATTTCGTTGTAAAAAGTTATATTAATAGAATACAAATTTAGAAACAAATTTCTAAATAGAATGCATGGATAGGTTGATAGAGTGCAATATATAAATATTATTAATAATAAAGTTTTTTTTACCTTAAGATTAATAGAAATTGTGATTAGAAGACGCCAAGATCATGATGAAACTTGATAGCCTCATTATCTTTTAAAAACTAATTTTCAAAGCAGGACATAGATAATATATATTAGACTATCTTTGTAAAAATATATTACAACGATTAAATGGACTACTACTCAAGTTTCAAAAATCCTTAAACATAAACGTTGTTAATCTTCTGTCGTTTTTCTTCATGTATCATATAATCTATATACACGGCTACCTTTCATCTTACTCATGAGAAATAAATAAAATGATGTTCTATTCAAGTTATTATGTGGCATGTCCTTTAGATCAAATAAGGAACTATAGTCAAAAAAAAAAAAATGTCTCATGAAAGGTTAAAAATATTATTCAAAAAAATAAGATACCAAAAAAAAAAAAGAAGATTATTGATGCGGTATGGAATAACTTCAATGAACAAAACAAAGGAAGCACTTTTTCTGCGCACAGCATTCCAATTTATGGTAGACTAAGACAAAAACGGAAAAAGGAAACAACATTGATAATACTGTTTGATAAAATAAAATTTATCTGTAGTAAGGTATTATATAAAATGTCAATTCCATCAACTTTGAATAATCAAGATATCAAGCTTAAGTTAACACATAGATAAACAAAATTTTGCTTTTTAATTGATCAAATGTCAAGTATTAAAACATATTTCAATTGTTAGTATTATTGCAATAAATTTTTACATTTCTTAACAAGACGTAATATTTTCCATCTTTGTCAATTTCAATTAATAAAACAAATAATTTATTTCAAAACATTTTGAGTAACACATGCAACAGTGCATTCTCGGTATAAAAATCTTCAATTAAGCATTTTGATTTATTTAAAAAAGAAAAACAACCATCATCGAATGACACTATACTTGATATTGACATACGAATGTCCTCTGATACATTTGTATAAAAAGCTTTTATCGTCATTCAATTTAAATTTAATACATTCAAATCATCTTGTATCATACATATAAGACACTATTTATAATTATGTTAGATTCTAAAATTTTTGAGAATATAAATATATAACAAAACAAATATAGAAATCTATAATTATCATAAATTATCTTAATTTTCTTAAAACTCAATGAGAATTCTCTTGTTTTGATTTTATTAGACAATACAACTTGATGGAAGATAACTTGTGTGAAATTTTTATGAATCTTGGATTGTATTTGTCAAATTTTTAATCAACAGTGTTTTTTTATTTACGAAATATTATTTATAATTTGACTATTATTCATTAGTAGCGTAAGCATGAATGAGTTAGACAGGGCTGCGCCCTACCATCAGAAAAAGAAACAACATCATAATTATTATCATTGAAATTATATCTCATGCATTTCTAGCAAGTTCGTAGAACACTTTCTTGCCATCTACTATCTCTTGATTACGTTACTATTATTCATACCTTGATGGTTTGCCCTTGAAGATTACTTTTTTTTCTTGTTTATTATCAATGCTCTTGTTTTTTACAGGCAATTGAACTTTGGAGTGCTAAAATGTCCTAATCGACACTCACACTCTAATTATTGAAGAATATTTCTTTTTGCGTAATAGAGAAGAAAATAGATTTGGACGGCAGTTGAACATGTTTCTGAAATCTAACTTTCAGATGCTGTATTTTTTTATATTAATGTCAATAATTTTCATGAACAATTGAAGTAGTATGTCGATTTTGAAAACACATAAGATGTTTTTTATTTAATGATAAAGAAAAAAAATCAGCAAACTAGTTTTTTTTCCGGTTTTTCAAGATGCTCTTTTCTTATTTGTCTAAGTACTAAATAATTATCTTCTCTTAATGTAAAAATTAATAAAAAAAAGTACGTGTATTTTGTTTCTGGTACAAATTATTTGATGTCATTGTTATTTTTTGTCAAAATATCAACACATATTTTTAAAACAATTAAAATTGACATATTGTATATATCCATTATAATTCAGTTGAACAGCTGAAAAAATTATAAACTAAAAGGAAATTTAATTTAGTAACTACTTTTCTTTTCTAATATTGTCATGTAATCAAATACTATATTATAAAAGATTAGTATGACACGAGAAAAACCTTTATCAATACAACATTGAATAAATTTCAAAACGTTAGTCTTATTTTTCGTATTCATTTAGGGCACTGAGTCTTTTCACTCAAACTCTATGACACTCAATAATACTTATTTAAATAAATAAAAAAAAAAGTGACAACATCTAATGACATAAAATGTACTATATTATCGCTTGATTTTTTTTTTTTAATGAAAATAAAAAATGTCTTTATACATCAAATGAACTGAAAAATTCAGGATAAAAATTGAGTCTCTTTTTTGTTTGCTTCTAAAACAAGCAATATTACATAAAACGGAAACGATGCATTGATTTTTTTTTTATTATGAATCTCTAATAGATAAACATGTGCACTGGAAGTAATATAAAAAATAGTAATAAATATATTTTCCTATGGCGTCTTTTACTTTGTAAAAAACAAAGAGCATGTTATCTATTGTTATTTTTTCTATGTATTCATTTGTGCGGAAACATGATACAAAAATAGAGCACATGCAACAGACGCATTTAATGATGATATTTCACTTTTAATATTTGATTGAATACATACATTATAATGACACATTTTAACTATTTCTTCAGAAATACCTTCATGTTCATTTCCAATAAGTAGAACAATACGTTGTAAATTTGAAGAAGAAAAATTTTTTTTAATATCATCTAAACGTAATGTTTGTAATGAAATATTTCCTTGATGTGTAGCACAAATAATAGCAATATTTTTTTGTTTATGTAATAAATTTAAATAAGTTTTTAAATCATTACATGTATAAATTGACATTAATTCAAGTGCACCTGAACTAGCTTTACTAGCAACTGGTGATGGTTGACATGTACCACGAGTTAAAATAATTTTATCAATACCAAAAAAATGTGCTGTACGAATAATACCACCTAAATTCATTGGATCATGAATTTTAACAAGACATAAATCAAGAAAAATTTTATTTAAATTTATTTCGATTTCAATTTGTTGAATATCTTGAATAGGTAATGGTGAACAATCAAGACAAACACCTTGATGTGGTCTATCAAATGATAAACGATCAAGAATATTTGTATTTGTATATTTTATTGGTATTGATAATTGTTCAGCTAAATGTTGAATATTTTGTATTATTTGACGATTATCATTTAATGTATTATTAAGATATAATTGATAAAATTGACGTTTTTTTCTTTTAAGTGCTAATTCAATTGGATATAATCCGAATAGACATTGACCACGAAGTGAAATTTTTAATAATGATTTATTATCATTATTATTTGTATATATTTTTTGTTCTTTTAAAGAAGTTTTTCTTAAATGATCACTTATTGGTTTAGTAAAATCAAGTTCAGGTAAACGTGATTTATTATGAAAATAACGAGACAAAAAATTATGAAATAAACGATTATACATCTAAAGAATTTTTATTTACTCGAATAATCATTCATTTCAAACTTTTAGTTTTATTTAATTCTTTTTTTTTTTAAATATCTTGTTAAATACGAAGCAAAAAAAAATATATATATGCGTATTAATAATATCTAACCAAGCAAAAAAAAAGAAAAATCAAAACCAAAATATTTTTGTCTGTAGATTTAATATGAGTATTGTTGATAAAATATATTTATAAATATACAGATCGAGTAACATAATCAAATTAAGAATCTAGTTTAGAAAAATAAATGAGAATGATAATTAAAATTCAAACAAAAAAACTAATAAAATTTTTACCTGTTCGAACACGAGGATATGGATGATCAAGTAATGCTTTAGCTAATGGTCGTTGATTAACATCAGGTGTTAAACATAATTGAATAAAATCATATGCTTCATGTTCTGTTTTTAATTCATCTGGAATAGGTGGACCTTTTTTAGCTAATAATTGATTTTGAATATAAATACGTTCTTCAGGTGGTCGTGTTACATTTGTCCAAGGTAACTAATATATAAAGAAAAAAAAATATACATTTCTTTTTTTTTGTTGTTGTATATTTTTATATTTTGAACATATTCAATATGAATTTTTTTAACTTACTTTGCCAGTAAGCATTTCAATGACAGTACAACCCAATGCCCAAATATCAGATTGATAAACATATTCTGGTTCAGGTGGTTTAAAATCTATTAGAAAAAAAACATGAATATATATTTATTTATTAAAATAATAAATTTGTTTGTAATGTTTCATGAAATGTTCTGAAAATAGTTGTTGATTAATGATATTCATACTTATGATTTTGTCTAAGATAGTATTATTTTAAGTTCTCAATCGTTAATTTCGATATATCAATAGTAAATATATATTTTCTTTTGAAAAGAAAATTGTTCATGAAAATCATCTTCAATTGTCGATATTCACTTCAATATAGTGTTGAATTTTTGAATAGAGGTTATCTTGACTTTTCTCACTACTATCCGATCTTTAAATTATAAAAATATTCATAACTTATTCTCCGTTCTTTTCTCAAACTCATGAAAGATTATACTAAGTATTTATGTGATTATTAAAAATTGACTACTATTTTCATTAATAGTTTTACTATGAAAAAAAAAAGTTGTGCATTATGTCAGGAATAAAAAATTAGCCTATTACCTTCGACCAGAATAGTGATAATTAAATTTTATATCGTAAAGATATTTATAGCCTATCCTGTAATATATATATATATCTAAAGATCTGATAATAATGTTTCTCAATATTTTACATTAATAATCATTCAAAAATATTTCATACATTTTTTAATAGAAAAAAAAATTCACTGCTAAATCCTTACACAAAGTGCCAAATTGTGTACTACGTGAGTCACTATCATTTGGTGAACGTGATTCTAATTCCAATCGATGAGATAAATTAAAATCCTAATAGAACAAAAAAAAAATATTTTTTGTTAAATATTAATTCTATATAAACATACACCTAATTTCACAATGTAATGTCCATTTTGATTTGCAATAAATATATTATCACCTTTAACATCACAATGAACAATACAATGTTCATGTAAAGCTAATAATGCTTGTAAAAGTTGTTTGACAAAACCTCGAACAAGTTCATTGACATCAAGTGATGGAGCTAAATGAGCATTATCTGTATTCATTTCATCATCTTGATCACTTGAATCACTCCATAAACCACTATTCGATTTTCTATTATGTGCACGTTTTTGAAATGCACGAATATCATTTAAAAATTCATTGACTGTTGATAAACAATATTCCATACAAATATAAATTGTTCTCTAAAATAATAATATTAATCAATAAATATTAAATAGATTTATCTTTTGTTTTAATAAAAATTTTTCTACCTTATATTTTTCTATACCAAAATATCGTACAATATTAGGATGATTAATAGACATAATCATTTCAATTTCTGCTGCAATACGTCGTAATTTTTCAGGATATGTATTTGGTAATGAACGAGATGCTATAGATGATAATTGTATTTCTTTCATACATACAATTGAACCATTTGAACAATTTATAGCACGAAATGCAACACCAGCACCACCTTGTCCAATACGTGTACCACGACGCCAAGGAAAATCAATATTACGTGTTTTTAATGATATAACAGGATCTAATGTAGTACCACTTGCTGTTGTCGTATTATTACTATTAAATATTTGACCAATTTGTTTACGTTCACGAAGTTTTTGTTGTAATTCTTGTTCACGTTTTTCTATACTTTGTTGAATACGTTCAATTGAATTAACAAATGGTAATGTTAATAATTCAATAATACCACCACTACTATCAAAACGTCGATGTCCACCTAAACAAATATTAAAAAACAAACATTTTGATAGATTATTTTTTAAGAAAAAAATATTTTATTTATTTGTACTCGATCGATTATGTTGTCGAATAGGAATTGTTGGTATTGATGATGCACTATTTGAACGTGCTATAAGAAATAAAATAATATAGTAAATAGAAGATAAGGAACTATTTTTGTTTTTTTGAAAATCCAGACCCAAATAATTAATCAAAATAACATGCATTACATAAAAGAAAAGGTAAATTTAAGCTCTTAATAAAGTTAGACAAAACTAAATCAAGAGTTAGAAATGAAACAACTTCAAAATCTATAAAAGTGCATCTTGTACTATTAGATATCGTTTAATTTTATATCTTAGTCAAGAACATAAGTTTCTGTCTATGATCTCCTTGTATTGAAACCTAATTTTTTTTATTCTCAAAAAACAACACAAATCAATTTTTTCTTTATCTCAATAAATTGATTTTAGGATATTAGTATATTTTTCTTCTAAGCAAAGATCATGTAAGATGTGATTTCTTCTTCTTCTTCTTCTTCTGACAATGAATTACACATGAACTATCATACAATGAAACAAAATCCGGCCACACAATAAGTAGTTTCTAAAGAGCATGTAGTAATAGCTGGTTTTCTGTCAAAAAGGTTTGTTCGTCATAGACATATTAATTTTTAGTACTCAATAAAACAAAAAACATGAAGGGACAAAGTAAAATTTGTAAAAGAAGATTTTTGAGGAAAGATCCTTACCCTAAACTTTTATCGAAAAAGTTTTTATTTTAAAAATTAACAACTAACACATTCCTCGATGCAATTTTTCGTGCTAATTCCAAACATGTCCTTATTTTTCTCTTAAAGTATATCTGAGACAAAAGAATGCAGAAAACGTATATCTCAATTTGAGAAGCATTTATGCATTTTTATGTTAAGCGACTAAGATGTCTAACACACACAGAAAAATATTCTATGAAAGTTTCATCAAGTTTGAAATTGTGTATAAGTGTGCGCATCGATCACATTGAACATGAATTTTTTGCAGAAAACTCTCAATTGAGAAAGTATACCTACTTTTTCCAACACGAAAACTGTTCGAACACAAGTTTTTCATACAGAACGATAGAGCAAGAGTTTTAGGTTTTATGCCATCGGTCTTTCTATTTTCTTTAAAAAAAGATACTTTTCTCTAACCTGACAGAAATCTGGCTATTTTTGGAGACCAGGATTTTGCTCAAAGACTTAGCGAACTGAAGTAATCTTTTTAAATGACAAAGTCAGTGATTCGCTAAAATATATTGGACATCATTCAAATCACAAAAAAAAATATCATTTTCATTTTTCTAACAAGTGCCCACGTTGTTGCCCAATTATGATTTATTGCATGATTACATTGTTTGAAAAATTCAACAAAACATGAACATCATTAATGTTTCGTATACTAAATTCACTATAAAGAAGTTCTATTAAAAAACGAATACCATGTTAAGTTCTCAGAAGAATCATCAAGCCAATTCAAGTGTTTATTAATCAGATGTAAAATTTGATATGTCTATTACAATCTATGACATAACAGAATTTTACATGTTACTCGGTTCTTACCAATATTAAGAATTGGATAAAGACGTTTATTTAGACAGTGTTTTCCTTTTCATAGAGAGAGAGAGAGAGAAAATAAAAATAATGATTAATTTTCTTGCTTTATTTTATAATTATATATTTCAATTAAATTAAATTTACCTTTTGTTATAGATAAATCTCGATTATCCAATGTATTTCCACGTAATGCCTTCAATGCAACTGGCATTTCTGTCATTAATTTTTTATATTCATCTTCAGTTAATAATTGTAAATGAGGAGGTTTAGCCAAAAAACCAAGAAAAATCATTCCAGGTGAAAACCATCTTGGTCTATCGAATAAATCAATAATTTTTTTTTTGTGCCTATTATTTTTCATTGAATAAATCTTTACCTAAGAACTTTATATTTTGCTGTACTAGCTTGTTGTGTTGATGTGTATTTAAATTTTTTTGTAACACATTTACACCATTCACAAAAAAATTCATTCATTATACTAACAAATTTTTTTAATATTTTATCATCATTTATTGACATTGGAGGTAAAAGATCATATAAAAGACGAAATAATTCAAAACCTGAATTATATACATATAAAACAAGATCAAGTAATTTTGATTCAATTGTACGTAATTCTCGTTCATCAAATTTAACTATTTCAGTGAGAAAAATTTTAATGGAATCTTGATCCCATATAGCATTAAGTATACGAACAAGATGCGTTAATTGATTACTCAATTTATCAATAAATTCCTATTTAGGAAAAAGAAAAAGATAAGATAAGATTTAAATATATTATTGTTTTTTTTTCTTAATTATAAAATAATATGATACAAACAGGTAATTGATCGAATGTTAAACGTATATCTTCATCACGAGCTAATTTTTTAACAAATTGAATATTATTATTTGATCCAGCATGAAATTGAAATAAATCAACAGCTTGTTGCCAATGATCAGATCGTGTAACAACCAAATGAAGACATGCTAATTCAGTTGAATTCAATGCTAATTGTGTACTTTCACTTGCTCGAATAAGAACAATATCACCGGTCCAATGTGTATTATATAAATGAGAAGTTTTCTTTGGTATATATATCATATATGACGGTTTAATATCTTTATTTGATTTTGTTAATTCATCTGATGGTAATTGTTGACTACAAATGAGATTAAGTAATTTTTCGACTTGATTTTTATCTGTTGTTAACCATGGAGGAACAAATAAATAAAAACTATCGAAATCATCTGAACTCTAGATACAAAATAGATTAACATAAGAAAAGAAAAGATACTGTTTATTTACACTTATGTCTAAATGAAGTTTGACTTGTGCATAGTTATGATGTCGAAGCTCATGCCATAGATCATGATAATTATGACATTTAAATTCTGCTGCAATTGAAAAATCCTATAGAAAAAGTTAAAGATAGAAATAGATTCCGAAAAATATGTTCAAACAATATTTCTACTTTGAATTTCGATAGAAAATTATAATGATATTATTGAATTCTTAAATTAAACTTACATCAATGAGAGTTTTACCCAATGAACAAATACGTATTGTTCGTTGTTTAATTGTATCAAAACTTCGACGAAATTCACGTGTACTATTGATTATTTCACATCTATAAATAAAAAAAGAAATAGTTTATTTTATAAAAAAAATTAACAGTATTTAAATTATCAAAATACTACTTTTTCTGTTCAGAAAAAGATGCTCCTGCGTCGCTCATTGAAAATTCTGCGTGAGCAAAGTCACCTGGAACACTGACTGATGAGTGAAAATAAGGTGGTTTTGTATATTCTGATATGATTCTATAGAAAATAAAGACAAATATAAAATAAATAATCAAGAAAGAATTTTTTTAAATTCCATTTGATCCAAATAATATCGTTATGAACCTTATACTTTAGATACATAATCAAAATAATCTATTTTGAGATTCTCACATGTTTTCAATAAGTTACCATTTCAATAGATAGATTCTTTTTCAGAACATAGAACTTCAATATCAACAATAAACATTGATTTAGTTGATGATGGTTCATAATGTAGGAATGATTTCTATCAATGATGGAAGCATACGAACTTTGACCTGAATATTTAACATCTAGTTTTGTTATATTTAAAATTGAATATTTTCAATTACAAACATTTTTCAATGAGAACTACAAACTTAATACTGTTTACAAAAGAACGTATATTATTAAAATATTTTAGGAGGAACAAAAAGGAAACAATTGAGTAAGATTCAAAACGACAAAATTTTAAAATCTAATAATGAAATAATATAAGAATTACTATTAATAACGTCGAAAAATATTCTATTCTACTTACTCAGCTGAATAAAGTCCATCACTAGTATTTGATGTATTAGTTGTATCAGCTGCAAATACTTGATAATATGTTTCTGTTGTTTCATATAATTCTTCTTTCAATTGTGCTAATATACCTCTTACAAGATCACTAAAAAAATTTCCAAAAATTTTTATTAAATAATAAAAAAAAAAAAATTTATCAACCAACTTAAATTGAAATCCTAATGCATGAATTAAATCTCGATTGCCTAATGTTAATGTAAGATCTCGAGCAAAATAATATTCTTTTATTAATTCTGATGTTTCTTCATCAACATAATAATAATATTCTTTATCAGCGTCATTGAGTGCAATTTGATGACTATCATTATTAATATCATATGTTCGATTAATAGAAACTGTACTTAAAAATTGTTTATAATGCTATTATAAAATAAACAAAGAAATATAATTAATATTAAAATATGAAAAAAAAACAAAAAGTATTAGTGTACTCTTTGCAGGATAAAAATGCGAAACACAATGTAGCCATTGTTACTAATAACAGGGAGATCGTGTGTTTTTTTTTCTAACTATTTTGGAACCCATTTCTTCGTCATTCGTTTATTTAATCGTTTAGAAGTACAGTAAGGAAATAGTTTATATGTATTATAATGAGACGTTAGTGATATGAGATTTGTGTGTGAGTTCTGACTTTTACTCCTATTCTTCTATAGATCATGTTTCACGAAATGAAAAATACGAACCATATATAGATTAACTGTTTTTTCATCGAATTCAGTTAGTTCATAAGCAATTTTACGATTAGAAATGAATTGTTCCATCATACGAACACTATATAAACGTGTAGCTAATGCATCTCTATTTAAAAAAAATAAAATGTTAAAATTTTCATACTAATTTTTTTGTTATAATCTACCTTAAAACAAGTTTTGCTTCACGAACAAGCTAAGAAAAAGAAAAGAAAAGAAATTAAAAAAGAAAAAATAAATAAATGATTATGTTTTTTGTGTTACTTGTTGTCGACAAAGTGGATCTATTTCAATAATATCATTATTCATATATGGTTTATTATAAAGAGTTAAACATTCGTTCATAACATCAAGTAAAACATTAATTATAAAAAAATATAAAGGTAATAGTGATGGTAAACCTAATTGTTCATGTAATTCAAGCCAATTTTGTTTTAATATATCATCTGTATGTGTACATATAATTTTTATTGTTGAACATGATTTTAATACATGATGTAACCATTTTTCAATAGTTAATTCACCTATATTTATATTTGTTATATTATCATCTGTAACTGGATTATCTGTATCAACTAATTTATCATCAATATCATCTGTATTTTGAGTAGTTTTAGAATCTGTTTTATTTATATCTGATAATTGAAAATCAGATAGAGATAAACCGGCAAGTACTTGTTCAATTTTAATATCACGTCGATCTGTTGTTTGTAATAAAGCAAGACGAATTTTAAATAACACTGGTGCAACACGTTCAATTAATGTTCGAGCTAAACCATCATATTTTACTTGATAAGATCGCTTATCCATATAATAAACAAAATTTCTAAATTATATTCAATTCGATAACAATAATAAACAAAAACGAATAGTTTGCTTTTTTTTACCGATAACAAGCTGTTCTATCTAATTTTTGTGTTGTAGCATTTGTTGTTGGATGAGATGATTCATCCGATACTAGATAAGAAAAGTTTAGATCAATAATTTATTACTCAATAAATTATGACATTACTCTTTAGATTTGAAAATTGATCGAGTGGTTCATCAGACCAACAAATCTAGATGGAATAATATTATGTGAAAATACTGAAGATGGTATATTAAACATTAGCATTGATTCAAGGGAACTCTTTTATTATAGAAGTAAACAAGCATATGATGCTGCCATTGAACCAGTTAGTAATTTGTATTCATTTCTATTGATTATAATGGTCTATTGTAATCTCTTTTTCTATTCAGCATCTGTATAAATAAGCTTCATCTTATGAAAGAAAAAAAATCTTGTGATCAATATAAACTTGACCGATTGAATTATTTCAAATAGTCCCAATTCTTTAGTGATATAGCAACAACAAAAAAGCATAGAACGATGATCTTTCCTGCCTAAGAAAACTTTACTAGTAAAGGAAAGATTTTTTTTTTCAACTATAATAAAAATTCAACAATAGACTTTTAACATACTTTTGGCATAATATCTGTATCATCTCCATCTTCTGTTTTTTCAATAACACTTTGTTTTGATTCGCTTGTAACTTCACTTTCTTCTGTTGTTTTTGTATCACCATCATCATCCTCATCATCATCTTCATTACTACTATTCTCACTTGTATAATCATCACTTTCATCAGCACGTTTTGCTTTACGTTCACGATCAGTTGCAAGTGAACGAAAATGTAATTTTGGCCAATCTTCACAATCATTACAACGTAATAGACCACTTAATTTTTTAACGGATATTGTTAATTCATAATATAAATTATACCAAACACAAATAGCATCAAGTCGACGATGAAATATAGCTAATAAATCATTTGTATGACCACTATCAACATGTTTTAAACAATAAAGTATATGTTGTTTATCAGCTATATCAAATAATTTTTGTGTTAAATCTTTTTCTGTTTGTTCACAATCACGAATATAATCAACAGATAATGTACGAAAAAAACGTAATGGATGATCTTTAAAAAATTTTATATCACTTGTTTGTTCTGTTGTTTCTATAGGAGTTACGGATAATACTGAAGTATTTAATAATTCATTATTATCTATATTATTTTTAGTTTCTATTATATCATCATCATCATCAGTTTCACTTGAACAAGTTGATAAACGTACAGGATCATTATTTGATTTTAATAAATCTCGAATACTATTAATTAAATATTTATAATGATGAGATCGATTCATTTGATAACTAGTTATTGAATCAATAAAAGCTTTTGTTTCAATTCTTGAACATCGTTGTTTCATTGGATTTTTTAATGATAATTCATTTAAACGTGTATATAGAAAATCTCGAATAGATGAATTTTGTGATGGATATTGTATACTAGCATTAAATGAATAATTTAAAAGTAAATTATTTATCATTATTAAATGTTCATTAAGTATTGCTTTTGTATCACGAACTAATGGTGTTGATTGTTGTTGTGATGTTTGTAATACATGTTGATGTTCATCTATTTTAATACTATTTGATTTTGTAGATGAATTTTTACGATCTCGTTGAACAGCAGCTAAACCACTAAGATTACGACGATGTTGAAGTAATCGTCTTCGTTGAGATTGACTATTACTAATTGTAGTATTTCGTTGTAAATGAAGTGAAGAAGTAAGTGATATTGTACCAGTACCAGAACTTTGTGTTTTAGATTTCGTATTTATTAATGTGCCATTAAGACTTGAATCGGAATGCATACTAATTACAGAAGTATAACTTTGACTTAGAGGATCAATATGTGATATAAATGATTGTGAAGGTGATGTTGATGTATGAAGATGAGAATTGACAGGTAACGAATGCACTTGATTAGAATTCTCATTTGCACTGGAGAAAAGTTGTACTGATGTTTTAGAAGAATTTGATAGATTTGATTCAAATTGTGTCATCGTATTAAGAGTATTATTTGATCGAAATGATGAACGAATCTAGGAAAAAGAAAAGGTGAACATTAGCTGAATTTGTGAATAATTTGAAAATTCTAGTATTGTCATTTATTATCTATCGAGAAGGGAGAAAGGTAAGTTCGTGCAAGTCTCTGACCGAATGTACATATTTTTAGGTACTGGAATATATCAAAGAAAATTAGTCTAAATCATATTTCAAGAACAATGGAAAAAACAGTTTCATTCGAGTTTAATAAAAGCATATTTAAAAATTGTAAATAAGAATTAACTCTTTCGAATTATGTTATCAAACGACAAAATGCTTTTAAATTGTATCTTTGGCAGACACTATTGATAGGTAGTCAACCAGAAAAAACATAAGGTTCTCAAAAGGTTTTTTCGCCTGCAAAACTCATTACGTTGCTCATTTTAAAAAACAAATGTTCAAATCAACTCAATAAATCATGGTGCTATGACCGAGACAATGAAAAAATCTCCTATTACTGACTGCTGTTGACGGTGTCGAGTATTTTGACCTTATCACAATGATTTATTGAGTGACTTTGAATATTTTTTCAAATAAATTGATCAGCACAAAGAGTTCTACAGATGCAAGCTTTTTTGAGAATTAAGTCTTTCAATAGTTACGAATCATTTTGTAATCATAAGCTATTGACATAATAATTTTCACAGGCATCTTTTTAAAATTCTCTGAACTAATGAAACAGAAGCAATGCTCCAAAAAATTTAGGTACTAGTTCGGGTTCCTTGGAGATTGAGACTTTCTTATTTATATTTAATTTCATGTCATAAAATATCTTTCAAGAGCCAAACTAAGATTTGATGTTGTTGTGTGTATATGATATCAAACAAGCTAGAATCTAGACTAGACCTGTATAAAGATTAAGTTGTTTATATTTACCGGTATTGTTCCCTGAAGGTGTCTTCGACGTCCAAGATTTAATCGAGGATTTATTGTTGACCTTTTTTCAAGTAACCATTTTAATTGTCTCAATGCGTCTAATCTTTGATTGGCTGGTGTTTTTTGACATTTTCCAGTTTTATTTGACACATTTGGTTTTTTATGAATATTATGTATTTCATTTTCACTTGATGATGTTGGTAAATTTTCTGTACTTGCTGTTCTTGATGATACAGTTGATGGTGAACTTGTTTGTTTTTGTTTAGAAAAAAATAAATTATTTTTATCATGTGTTTCTTCTTCAATAATACTAGCTGTAAGTGGTGGTTCGGATGCACTTGTTCTTAAATTTGATGATTCAATACCACTTTTACCAGATATATCAGATATATTTGATGTAAGTCGATCTGATGAAAGCATCGATGTCGATGATGGAATAGATAAAAATTGAGAACATATTGATGAATTATTTATTAATTTTAAATGATTAGATGATGAAGGAGAATTTGTTGTTGATGTTGAAAGAAAAACATTATCCGAAAAACTTGATGATTGATTTGTTCTATTACCAGTAGGAGAAATATTAACATTAGTTGGCATTGAAGGACTAGTAAGAAATTGTTTCTGATTTATATCAGATTTCAATAATGGTGATTGACTAGATAGTTGATGTGATTGTGAACGTTGATATAAGTAAAGTTTATTTTTATTTACATTCCAAGAATTATGTCGTTTTCGATTTGATATTGATTTACGATGAGTTTTCAACGAAATAGAAGGATCAAATGAAATACTAGGCAAGTTTTTTGTTTGTTCTTCAATTGGTGATCGAGCGTTGAATTGTATGGATTCTTCCAAGGATGGTATGTTTTTCATTTTTTTATCAACTTCTGAGTCTTCTGATTCTGGTGCGGGAAGAAATTGTGAAGAACCTTCATTCTCATTTTCTTCGCCTCTACTAAAACGAATCTGTTCATCGTCGTGTTGATGCAAAGCGGTTGTAGGAAATGAAAAACTACGTTGAATCTCAGTTGATATTGATGGATTTTGTGATAATGTCGATGACATTGTATCCGAAGTAACTGATTGTTGTTGTTGCTGTTGATCACATAAAGTTGATACAGTGGATGTTCGACGACTTGATGCTGCTATTTGTTCAATTATTGTTGATGGAAGTGATGGTGATCTTTCAATAGGTGATGTTATCGATTCTGCTGTCGTTGATTTAACCCAAGCAGCAATCGAATGTTCATCCATACGAGTAATTGATGATGGCTTTTTAGTATTTTGTTGATCAAACTTATCTGATAATGATGCACTGACATCATTTGTTTGACATTGTGATCTATTGATACATGTTGATTCAAGTATATTTTCTTGATTATCATCAATAGGTTTAAATGGCGATATTGAATTTAATAATGTTAAAGGATTAATTTGAACTTCTGGTAATGATTCATCTTTATTTTGTTCAGATATATTTAAAGTTTTATCATTGTTAACGTTAGTATTCATCTAAAGTAATGATGTTTTTTTATTAGTTTTTTCTTTTTGAAAAATAAAATAATCGATTCCGATTAACAATTTACTATAATTATTGATTTGCTTGAAGTTTTTCAAAAAAAAACAATACAAAAAAAAACGAAACAACATTAAATGGAAAAAAGAAAACTAGAGTTCTTG